TCTGTCCTCCAATGACTTCTTCCAAAGATAAACAAACTTGTGTCATAGCGTTCTATGATGCTGTGTGGAGAATTACAAAAAAGTCAGCAAAATATGCTGTCATTGCAACGGAATGAAAACTAATGGAAGGATTGTGAAATAAATGAAACGCCTTGACTGGCTTTGTACCTTGGAGTAAAAGAAGAATTAAATCTGCCTAGCTTAAGATCATATTGATTTTATGAAATTAACGTTGAAGTATAACAGTTATGTAGATAAAAAAAATTTTCCTCTTTGAGACTTGAAACAAAATGTCATACACTAAATTTCATCCTTCCTCAGTAAATGATAATGATTATAAAACCAGATGAGTATTTGGAAATGAATAAAGGTGCATTAAAAGTATTTAGTGTTATATCATTATTGAATTTGAAAACAAAATTTTCTGGAATTTTTGCCAAGAATAACCTTTTGATGGTTAATTGCAATGAGTTGGTCTTACTAGTGGACCCTAGCTGAAATATATCATTTAATGTTCCGTCTGTGTCATGCGTTGTGATTGGCTCCTCCTCAGGGATTCTATTTAATCTTTTGACTCCCAGGAGCAATTATCATTGAAATCAATTCTCCTTGTGCAGAGATCAACATAGAGAGTATTCACACTGATATTAAGATATTAAGCATTAATTAAAAAACTCTGCATTTCATTCCTAACATTCCAGGTACATCATGACCAGTGAACATACAATGGTTGACACAGCAGAGTACTTCCAGAATCACAAATATTTTGGACTCCAAGAAGATGACGTGATTCTCTTTGAGCAGCATACCCTTCCATGTTTCACCTTTGAAGGTAAAATCATTCTTGACCAACCTGGTAAAGTTTCCAGAGCTCCTGGAGGAAATGGGGGCTTGTATGAAGCTCTTCATGAGAATTGTCACATTGACAAGATGCGAGAACGTGGAATAGAGTATGTCCATGTCTATTGCGTTGATAATATCCTGGTCAAGATGGCGGATCCTGTTTTCATTGGATTTTGTATTGACAAGTCAGCAGAATGTGGTGCTAAGGTTGGTGTCCTGTGGTGAAGTTCTCTAATTTGCAACTCATTCCAAAATTTTCTAATATAAGCCTTTGCTAATTGTAGATCAGCTATAATTCCAATAGAATAAGAACCTTATGGTTTGATTAGATCATAGAAAATTGAGAAAATTTAGTTTACAAGGGTGAAACATATACACATTCATTTGGTGAAACACCATGAGAGAAATTTGTACAGCAGTCATTTCCCAGTTTTGGATGGAATTGAATGATTGTATAGTTTTCTAGTAACTTGCTTTGATGTGTGAATTTAATCACATTGAGAATTTGCTTAAAGGTTTGTACAAACTTTGTGGAACACTTGGGTCATTTTAACGGGTAGCTATCAAAAATATGACTTGATTAGATGTGATTACATGTATGTGGATACATATTTCTGTGATACATTTGTGATGTTTTTCCAAAAACTCTTTTGACAGGTTGTAGAGAAGAAAAGGCCCGAGGAGAGGGTAGGGGTAGTTGTCAAATGCAATGGGAAATATCAGGTGATTTGTCTTACTTGAAATAGCTTGTAATTAGCAATCTAGCTTACTTCCATTGATCATAGCTCATTGGGCTTCTCCGAGACCAAAAAGCTCCATTCAATTGAAAGGTAATTTGTATTGGTCAAATAAAATACTTTGAGACATGCATGGTTAACCATTTAGATGTACATATCTTAATGTACTTTGAGCTTGTGAGCTCTCGGATTGTCACAGTTTGATACATGCTAGTTTTTTGGAAGGCTGAGGGTGCTCTCAGTCTTACTAGTTCCTTCATTTTACTTTTTCCATTTTTATCAAGTATTTATTTGACCAATACATGATTTTTAGGAAAACTCCATCTACTAGGTACTTCATAGGGGCACTCCAAAGAGTAGGGCTCTGCATTTTATCATCTCCCAAGTAGAATAGTTACAGGGGCAGTCCTGCTAGATGGAGAAATGATTTATGTGTAACTTCTCTTGGGAGTGGAAGAGCTGATCAACTGAGAGCTAAAATATGTAAATTGCACAATCCTCTTTCCTGCCATAGCAAAATTTTACATGCAGTTGCAAATGGGGACAAAGGCCATTTGAAAATTATTTATGATTCCACTTTTGTTAATTAAAAATTAAACTTTTCAGGTTGCAGAGTACAGTGAAATCTCTGAAGAGCTGCAGAAGAAAAGGGACCCTGATGGAAAACTTACTTTTCGTGAAGGAAACATTTGCAACCACTTCTTTACCATTGACTTTTTGGAAAAAATTGTCAAGTAAGTGTTTTTAAAACTTTGAGACATACTGTATAGTGTAAATTTCATTGGAAAAAAAGCAACATTTAACAAACTGAGCACTGACTGGTATATATATGAGACAAGATTAATTTAAAGTTTATCTTGCCTATAGCTGGCATTCATTCCTTTGTACTATTCATTTATTTTAATTTGTAAATTTAGAGAGCTTGAGCCATCCCTAAAATATCACATTGCTGAGAAGAAGATTCCATATGTTAATGACAGTAGGAAACGGTATGTACATCTTTATTGCTGACTTTGATGATCTTTCAATTAGTGAGTGCACTCTTGTTCTCAATATAAGGAAATAAAAGTCTCCACATTGTCTTTCATGATATCTTTTGTTCGTGTTTTGCAAGTGTATTGTCAAAGGATGTTAATTAGCCTTCATATTATAACAGACTCCAGTCTGGGCAGCCTCCTCAGTTGAATAGTTTTTTGTTTGCACATAGAAATAAAGAAGGTCACAGAACTGTGAAAGGGAGAGGCAGATTACTGTTTATCTGCCACCCAAAACTGCTATGACTGCATGCAGTCTCTTATATATGAGCCACGTACTGGGGTTAGGGGACAAATCACAAAGTTTTACTTTTAATCAAGAACATGATTTTTTTTTTGCTGTTTGTGGACTACTAGTCGAGGGAAATTTTTTATCCTAATTTTGCTCAAGTGTTTTACATACTGATCATTACCATACCAGTATATTAATTGTTAAAAATGTGTTCTTCATATTTTTATTTCAGGATTGAGCCTGATAAACCCAGTGGAATAAAACTGGAGAAGTTTGTCTTTGATGTTTTTGAATTTGCAGAGTAAGCTGACTTCATTTTATTGAAGTTAGTACATCTAGCAACCTATACTGTGACAACAATTTTCACCATTGGATTATAAAGTTAACCGAAAAAATTCAATGAAATATTGAAATTGTAAAAATGTACGTCTTACACGTAGTTCTTCAAAATGGAAACTTGAGCTTGTGTCTATTTGGAACTGAAAGGGCAGGGCAGAGGACAGCTTTCCTAAGTAAAGTCTACAGCTTGACTCTACACTTCATTTGCTACACATCTTCACCCTATAGATTCACTGTAATTGCATTCTATCATGTAAATGCACATCTTTTAACGTCGAATCAGCAAATTGAAAACTGCCCTTATGCCAGTAAAACTGATGGTCAGTTACAGGAGGATTTTTACAATATTAAATGTGTAACATGGACTAAATGAATCAATCAGTGACAGTCTCACAGCAATTATGAAAAATTATGTGTATAGTCAAGAATTGTAACAGTATCTGATTGTGCAATTATGTAATGTAAGATACTTTCTATGTCATGCATTGATTACATAACATGGACATCAACATGTGCAGTATCTTTCCTGCCATCTTCTTTTGTGTTACTAGTCCTCGAATAAACGACTAGAAAAAAAATAAAAACAGCGCAACACTTTACAAGAATGACTCCTCCTCTCCTTGTGTCAGGACTAGGAATCTTAGCGAGGAAAATTTTATTGTCTCTCTTGTGTGTAAACCATCACATCAGAGTTTTTCGATGAAGTCAGACAATCAATTCAGTTTGGTTTGTTTATATACTGGCGTATCTACATTTACCACTAAACAAGGAGCACTCAGAAAATGTCCAATAGCCATAGTTGCCCCACTGTTTTAAATTAATATTTGTGCTCTGTTCAAATGACGTACAATTTGTATCTTTGATGAAGAATTTAAAAGTTTAATGATTCAACCTGTTTACTTCCTATTTCAGAAAATTTGCTGTCTTAGAAGTTGCCAGAGAAGACGAATTCTCTCCTCTCAAAAATAAGAAAGGTTCACAAACAGACAGCCCAGAAACAGCTTTAAGGGACTTGCTAAATTTGCATCATAAGTACATAATCAAAGCTGGGGGAACATTTGCTGACAGCACAAAGTGAGTAGTCGAACTACTCTTGTTTATCAAAATCAGGACTCCGATGCTCGTGGCTATTGATAGTTCCTGTGGGTCAAAATGACAAGTAGGGTTTTAAGGAACCTGAGAAAAATGTGATTTCTCTTTCAGTTGAAATCATTTTGTATCAATTGAATAGAATTGGGAAGGCGCTCTGTCTAATGTCAAATTTATTTTTGTTTGTCTTGATAATAACCCAATGGAGAGTCTAAGCAGATTAAGTGATGAGATGAACACTGCTTGGCTGCAAAGGAAGACCAAGTGTTAAATGCTCCTCGCTGTAGAGGCTTTAATAAGCTTGAGAAAATATTAGTAGACCTGATATTTCTCAAGACAATTGTTGTATGGAAGATAAGTGTATTAAAAAATTGCATGAATGGAAATTTTAAGGGTTTTTGTTCCCCCTTCATCCTCACAAAGCATTTAGTTTATTCGCTGTATCATTTTGGTTTTAATGCCTGTTTGATATTTATTTTTTCATTTCAGAGACGGTTCTTCACTTTGTGAAATATCTCCCCTTCTCTCTTATGCCGGAGAGGTAACTAATACACTCTTACTGATAATAACAATCACAGAACAGCAGAAATTGTGTAAATTTCTGGAAACGATGTTACAGCACAGTGGAATTCAAACTATTTTTGTTTTTATGTTTCCAAGAGGGTAGGTTTTTCAATGACAGAAAATGTCACATGACAATGCCTTCTTTGCTAACAAAAGTTACAGTAAGATGTAATTACTTAACATGAGTATTTTGATGCTGATAATAATTATTGTTAACACCATTTATAATTCTATGTTTGAATTTTCCTTTCTTAGACGAATTTTTTAGCCTTGTGCTAGACTTCATAATATGAGCATAAACCAGTCTTGGAGAGTATAATTTTAGTATTCAAAAAGACATCATTGCATTGAAAAAATTAAGAATTCTTAGCTATGGAACAATTAAAAATGCTGTAAAGTTAACAAGGAGCGATACACGTATTACAGGTGGTGCAAGCATATCTATTGTGGCTGTTATTGTTGTTGTTGTCATTGTTTGGGGAAACATTTAAAGAGAATATTACTCAAAGTATTGATAGAAGCCATTACTGCAAAGCAGTTAATTGAAGAAAAATCATTCTTTTTGTCAGGGATTGGAAGAAGTAGTGAAAGGCAAGCAGTTCTCAGCAACAAAGACTATTCATCTGAAAGCTGAGAGTGAGGAAGGAAAAAATGGAGAGCTACCATGCAAGAACGTCAAGGAGGGTTAAAAATATATGCTGGTCATAGGAATCTTTCAATTGCTGAAAAATTTTATTTTCATTTCATTATAGTTACAGGGGTTTCATTAAGGGCCTGGGCACCAGACAAATTGACCAGTTGTGAGAAGGTTTTTGCCCACCTGGTTTGACCATCTGTAGGAAAGTTTATCTTATAACGAAGTTCAGTTCAAAAAGTTTTGCCCGCCTTTGAGTTTTGCCCTCCTGCTGAGAACGTTAATGAAACCCCTGCAGTTATTAGAAGTGATCGACTGGTTAGGAAATTCGACAGATTTACTTTTTGTACACTGCAGGTTCTTGTTTGGGCCTCCAGGTTTTTTTTTTGTTCCATAGCAATTCACTCATCTTGAACTAACTGACGTAAAGAGGCTGTCAGTAAATTTACTGAGGCACAATGTGTGAACACCTATAAACAAGAGACTGTTAACTCCAATACAGCTTTCAACGTTAACTAAAGCAATGTTATTGTCATCTTTAATTTTTGCCGGCTTTCCTAACCAGTTAACTCATATAACTATGGTTCTATTTAGTTAGGAAAATAATGGTATGTTATAAATATAATGCTGATATAAAAATGTACTGTAGCTTCAATTCTGAAGGAAATGTTATTGTAATTCAAATCTTTATTGTTATCATATGACCTGTCCAGTCCCATGCATGCAATCTCCTAGGAAACCATTATGATAGTGAGCCAGTCCAGAAAGAGCTGTTCGGCCTCACGTGCCTTTGTAGCAAAAAGCTAGAGGAAAAAAAAAGAGTTTAAAAAATGTCATGTCACTAGATCAAGTGTGTGTATTTATGGTTCTGACCAGAGAAGACAATGGAAAAGTTTTTATTGTTGAATGCTTTTTGTGGTTGTTCTGCAAGCGCCCATCTATTGCATACTAGCTAGGTTGAAATGAAATTTTTTATATTTAGTGGTCATATGATAAAATGCTTATTGACTGAATTTGGTTGGGCCAGACTGAAAAATACTTGGTTCTCATTCATGGGGTATGGACTAAGCACACCTTGAGCCAAATATTCTCCCATGTGGCCCTCCCACCCAGTCGATAAATACATATTATTATTGTCATTGTTATTATCAACATTATCACTATCATTATCATTTATTGTCTGTTATTTTCATCATCATTATCATTATTGGTCATTTCCATGTCATCATCATTATTAATGTCATTGTCATTGGCATTACCATCATCTTTATTATTATTATAATTGTTATTGCTATCATTATTATTATCATCATATGTTATATAAATGTTATCATTATTGTTGTTTCTAAGTCAGAAAATATGAAACATTTTGGGAAGGGTTAGGAAGGAGGGCTTTTAGGTGGGTGTATCAGAATATTTCACCATGCTGGAAGTTGAGTGGAAATGCACGCACACTCATGCAGCACTTGGTCAACCAATCAGATTCGAAATAAAAGCCTCGATTTTAACTTACGTTTGGCGTTTAAAAAAAGATGTTTCTTGCTTATTTTTTTTTCCTCTGATTTGATTGTGGGAAACATTCGGGAATGGGATTTAAAAAGACGAAGATTTTATATTCTTTTTTTCTTCAAGTTAAAGGAAATATTCGCACATGCCAAATTTCTCCGCAAACATGAACATCAAAACAGAACTAACTCTGATCAAAAATGTGCCTTTACGTACTTGACTTTTAGATGGATGAAAATCTAACTTTGGCACCAGTTTTTTACAAGGCCTGTGCTTCATGTATAACTTTTTGCATATCAGATGGAAGTGATCCAAAATTAGTAGTTCTGAATATGTACTTTAGTGTCTGAATGACAAGTGTCATTGATAGAGCAGTTTTCACTTAAATGTCGAAAGCAAACCGGGGTTGCACTGATTTTGCTTTAATTCGCTCTTTGATTGGTCTAGAAAACTCGCGCCATTCTCTCAACCAATCAAATGCAAAACTAAAACCCACCATGACTTGATCGCTGGCGTTTTGCCGCGCTTTAGGCACTTTGGTTGGATTTGCCTAGAGTTTTTCATCGGCTCTTTGGGATATTTTCCTTTCTTCTGATTGTTTTACGACATTCATTTGAAAAAAGCTCTATTGCAATGGTATCAGAACTAAAGTGGATCACATCAAGAACATTAATTTGCATGCTAAACCCTCTAGATAGAAGAAATAATTATAACTTTGGCACTTAATTGTTTCTGTATTCTTTGAAAACTATGAGGTGGTGATCCGTAAATGCTGATCGAAATAGGCATTTAAGTTTCAGATCGACTTTTAATAGGATTTAAAATTAATATCGTAACATCTGGATGTGAAGGAGGTTAACAAGACTCTTTCTACTTTCCGTTTAATACAAGGTGCTGTACTGATCCTGAACACTGGCGCCACTCTCCGCCAGCTCGACTCATCGGAACCAAATTATTACAACCAATCAGTAATCTATCACCCGACTTTTCTCGCACGGTAGACAGTTAACTCGATTTTACTTTCGTTTGAATAAAATGGGTAAGTTTCTAAACAAACTGTGGTTCTGCGTCGTTGGGGGTATTACAAGATAATCTGGTTTATCGACCAAGTTGATAATGTAAATTGAGAAGAGCTTTTAGAAGTGACGTTTCGAGCGTTGGCCCTTCCTTACTTTGTATGCTCTAAATTGCCTCCCCTGATTTTTTTTCCTTTGGTTAGATGGCCCATTGCGATAATTTTGGGTTTGGTTTACATCCATAGATTGGAATATGCTCTAGGAGAGGTGTTCGTCGTACACAGTCTCGTTTTATAATAAATATGGGGGGAGGGGGGCAAAATAGGTAACATTGGTATGCATATTCTCTATTATCAAACCATTGCTTTGAGTTTTGAATCTTATCGTTCTAGGAAATAGCGGAAGAGGCAAAGGACTTTAAGACACACTCTTTATTTAGAAAATTTCCTCTTTATTCTCCATGGTGCTCCCTAAAGATTTCCTATGGTTCTGACAAGGAGAATTTGTGTAGTGATCAAGAGATTACGTAGCTGGCGTTTATTTCTTTTCTTGTCGTGACGTCAATGTTTGATTCAGTTGTGACACGTTGAATAAATAACAAGTTGTCCCCTCTTAGGGTGTTACAGCGGGGGTGTAGTTTAGGTCCGCTCAATAAAAGTTTCACCGTCATTAAAAGGCTAGGATTTCTTTTTAAATTATATTCCTATGGTAAAGGCAAGCGAAGTCTCAAATTTTGTCTTCAAATGTAGGAAAAATGGTTTCCTCATTTAACCAGGTACGGCAATTTTGAATTGGTGGAATAGTTGGTAAATATTGTTTTCATGCACAGAGTTTAATAAGTGATATGGACAAATGACTTTAACATACTGATACACGATGAGAATAAATTGAAAGGATTCAAGTTTCAAACTAGGTAGCCGTTCATGTCGGGAAAGAGGCAGGAGCGCAGGATAGTCCGGCTAGCTCGTTGACAACGGTACAAGCATTTTCTTTCAGCTAGGCGAGCGAAAGACGCGCTTGCCTTCTCTCACCTGAAAAACGCCAAAAAAATTATGATTAATAAAAAAGACGCTTTTTCTTCAGCCTAACACGGCTGCGTGCATCAAGTGTTGGGACACATGATCCGATAAGTAGCTTTTTAGCAAGGAAAACCATTAATCTAATTTACATTAACGAGAAAAATGGTAAACATGTAGTTTGATTGTAGATTTTGAAAAATGTCAGATTTTTTTCACGAAAGTCGGCTATGAAATAAATGCGGGTTTACCAGAAGGACTCGCCTTTGCCATTTGCAATGTTGATACACGTACGTGACGACCCTTAGTCTGAATTTCAGCCGTCTCTTCCTTTTACCCCAAGGGGGACGCGGGAGTCTCTCTCCCGCGCCCCCTTGGGGTAAAGGGAGGAGACGGCTGAAATTCAGACTAGACGACCCTTTATATCACTTTAAATCCCAAATAGCTTGCATGACGTGCATTTTTCCTCATAAGTCCCTCAGGGAACTCCTGAGGGGCAGTTTTTCTTCCACCTAGTCTCATCTCTACTAATTTTCTGGTTCCTCACGTGACAGAGCTGAATTATGAGTATGAAATGCTACGTCAGAGGGTATGCGGTCTATAACGCGAGCTCAAGTGTCCTAGGTCTAAATTTTAGCGAAATTAGCGGAAAATAATAAGCGTGACTTTTAAAACCGAGGAACTCTGTTTTCGTCGAAGGCACTTCCTATTTCGGAAGGTTTTAAGAGCGAATGTTACCGACGGTCAAACATTTGGTGGCAACAGCCAAAAAATTCGATTCGGCTAGGCCTTATGTTGAAACAAAGCACTACATACTTCGTTTGGCTGAATATCGATTTATTTTCGAGAAAATCGATAATAACTGAAGTTCGACCAAATGCCGCTTTTGAAGCTCAAAATTTCAGACGAATCTCGTAGCGTCGCGTCACGAATTAAAAACACTTGGACCGATAAAAACTACCAAATCTTGTAAAACAACATCAATACGTATGTTGACAGCAATTTGAGCAATTCTTGATCGTTTATTTACACAATCTAATTGAATTC